GCGTAAAGGCACCTCATTCGTTAAACCGTTGGCGCTTAGGCAGCTTCCGAAGTAAACGAACTTGTCCACCTCTTCCAACAAATGATCTGAAAGGGTATGGATAGGAGCAGCGCCTGGCCAGTCCTGCAGGAAGATCTTGAACTTCGACGGTACAAAAGTTATTCCAAACTGGAAGATAGTCTCCTCCAACCTACGCAGGACATTTGGGCAGGGACGTCGTCTGTATGTTCCATATCCCCGAACTCGGTCCCTTGGGAGCAGCTCGATGCCGATGAGTTCGCAGTTCTCCAGAACACTCCAAGACTTCATCTATAGCGAGATTGAACAAGAAGAGGGATGCGGAGCAGCCGTCTTACGCCACTGGTGATACCAAAGGGAGAAGAAAGTCTGCCGTACATCCGAACTCGGCCCGTTTGAGAGTAGACTTGAAGAATAGTGACACACTTCTCTGACACTCCCTTTTCCAGTCAAAAACTCCAGAGAGCAGCTCGGTCAACTCAGTCAAACGCGGTTCATAAGTCTTATAAGACAACGATCATTGGCTGGCCAAATTTTTGACGACACTCGAACATTTTGCGGTGTGTGAAGATGTGATCCATGCAACTCCGAGCTGAGCGGAACTCAGCTTACTCTTTATGTATGCCCTGTTCACGTACCAGGCTGAGCCTCCCAAATAGCAGAGCGGCGGGCACCTTGGCAGCAACACAGAGGAGACTAATCTCTGTGTTTGGCGCAGTCGATCCGGGTGCACCTTTGGAGGACGGGCACGATATTCTCTAGGCTTCGATGACCCAAATCTCCTGGAGGCGGGAAGTTAACTCCGGAACAAGTGATGGGCCTCCATTTTTGCAAAGAGCCGGCGGAAGTTCACCTGGGCCAGGGGATTTGTACCGCTTTAAGAGGCGAAGCTCATGTGGACAACCCCAGTTTCAGATGGTGATGTAGCGTCTACACACCAAAATTCACTTTTTCCTGTATGGGATCTCATCTTTGCTGCTGGTCAATGAAACTGCTGCTTAAATTGCTCGGCCCAACGCTCAACTCGGCGTTTTTGACAGAAGATTGGCTCGCCAATGGTTTCGCACATAACATCGCTTACAGTCTGCCTTTTGTCGCCAGTGGATCGGATCAGGAGGAGAAGCTTACGGATCGCCGACAGAAACATACCATGATCAGCGCAAAGCTGAACTAGACGACCACCGTTGTCTGTTCTGCGAATATTATGGCCGTGTTGACCACCGAGTTAACGTTCGTCAACTTCAAGTCTACCGACCTGCGCGTTCAAATCCGCGTCAGTTACAACGATGTGGGTGCGACGCTTTTTACGGAGTAGGTCGGACTGTTAACCATAGAACTCGTCTTTAACTGATTCCGTGCTACATTGTGTGAGAGCGTGTGCTGTGAAAATGAACAAACGACATGTGCTGGCTTCGTATTGAGATTTCAAGTCGAATCGCGCAGAGTCGACCGGTCACACGGATCTAGTCAAGTAGCGTGGCCTCAGCACGTGTGCTGGACGCAATCTCCAAACCATCATGACCAGCGGCTTTGTTGGTTGAATATCTAGATAGATGCAATGTGAAAATGCCAGTGGAACTCACAGACGGTGAAACCAGTCGTAGCGTCGTGCTAGAGTCCTGTAAATAGGTCTCACTGTGGCAGTAGACATCAGCGGCCGTAGTTTCCAGAGTGCGAGCGAGGGCTTTCTGGGATTGATCTGCATCAGCGTCCGAGCATTGAAGGTTGCCAGTGTGAATTGGAAACGGAGCGCTAAAAATGGCTTGCCAACTCGAATTGGCGCACCCTCTGACCTAAGCTCCTGATCCGTATAGCGAGAATGCTCGCCCCAGGTTGCATCATATTGTGGACTCGCAAACCGAGGAGAAAACCACGAATGCGGGAATTAAGCAAACGTGGAATAAAGTGATTAAGCGGTAGTGCGGTATAACAGGTTCGTCCGCCATCAACACGCCGAGGAGAGAGATTCCAAAGAGCAGGAGTAGAGAGAGCGAGCGAAGAAATGTTGGGACATGGTTCCATAGGTTGCGTGGGATGGTGCTTCCAGGTTACCGAAATCGAGGAAGAGAGTTGACTATATGACCTGACCCGGAGTTTTCTGTCATAAGATCTAACCCGCAAGGCAGCGGAACAATTGATGTATACCGTGAAATGTTGGGAGCCGGCTGTCTAGGTAAGGATAATACGGCTTTCGGGCGCCCAAAGAGCCCGGCTGGATCAGCAAGGATGTCTGGATTCTCCGGTCTACTAAACTCGCTGAGAGCCGGGTGGCCGTACGCTTTCATAGAAGCAGGTAGCAATCGAGCTTGTTCATACACCCTCCGTTGAGTACTCACTTCTGATCGCAGAAGTGAGTTGTCAGTGATTCTATAGCCGGTCAAAATGACTTTGAGACAGCGTCTCGCGAGCTCTTGTGATATTTGATAGGGGACCAGTGACCAGCCCAGAGCCCCCCACGCTCTAGGACTCTGCCTGTGATTGTACGCGACTTCATATACATCTCGCAGGCGAACCGTCGGACTTATTCACAGTTACCGCAAGAAAAGCGTTGCCCGATCCGCAATCTGGGGACGCCCGCTAGCGTACGGATCCGCCGAACCAATCATTGATCGGTTCACTGGTGATGGTGATCTCGAACTCTGAATTGTGTCCGACGGATTTATTTCTGTTCTAAAACCTCTATAGTGACACTTGCGCTCGAGTTATGGTCTGTGCAAAGCTGCCACATGTGTTCACTAAGTGAATAGAGTTTGCCTTCCAACTTTGTGGTCACTATGTTCCCAGATGACTACTTTGGCTTATACTCCTGAAGTAACAGTTATCCCGGTTGATCTACCGATAAACCTGGAGTACGCTAGCCGCTTTGGTTTTCCATAGCTCGAATCTGCTCTCCCTTACATCCTGATTTGTAAAGACAGCGCAGTACTCCTCGGCTTGTATTAAATACTTTCTGATCACAACGTACTGTTCCAGTATTGACAGACCACCTGTTCTATTCAATAATGAAACAATCATTTGTGAGCTAGGAATACTACTGCACCACACACACCTACACAGAATCGAATCGGGGACAAGTCGAACGCCTGAACCACTTTGTCATAAACTGGGGTTGGTAGTGCTTGTTGCATTCACCTGTATTAGCACTTATGTCACATCTAGCGGTCACATCATCAAAGCAGCTTCACTTTGCACATCGGTAAGACTCATATGGCTTTTCCTAATCGCAATCAATTATGTAAGCAGCGGGATGTAACCTTATTGGCTACCGGGATGGTTTATGGCACTGCGCTGCGGGGTGACAACTGTTGCTGCACGAATCAAAGATCTGCCCATTGTCCACTAAGACCATTAAGAGACTGGTCTTGTTGCTGCGCTAGAGTACCTGTTGAATTCGCATCGATGGTCATGTACTCCGGCTCGTGGCCTTAAGGATCACAAGCCCGCCTTGTAATCCGAGGGTGCGCGTTTGAGTCTGCGTATGGACTGGGCATAGCCGCAGTATCCTTAGTCCACGTGCGACTGGTGGTGGTTGCGCGACAGCGAAGCCTCGGTACCTTTTGCCGGCGTACTGTTTATGCCTTTCTTCTACTCCGCGTTTACCCGCAAGGCGGCCGCCTCGATCTGTACTGTTTATCAATACTGCACCTAATTGAGTTAAACTACCAGGTGATCACTTGGGCATGTTAATTACGAACACTGCCTACCATGTTGTTAGCTGTGGAACCCAGGGTCTGGCACATCAGTCGACCTTACTGACTTTAACATTGCCACGAAGATCGTGGCGTCCTTGCTTTCACTGTCCCGTTGCAAACTATTGTCGGCCATTGGTCGGAAGGATTAAGCGCCTATCTTGTAGTTCGGAGACCATCAGTTCGAATCCACGTAGGTACAGTCAACCTCGTGATATACCCAGCCCACGAACGACCAGTGATAGTGGCGTAGCAGCCAAACGTGTAGGTACAGTGTACTGGCGTCTTCATTTCCAGCTCTTCCATATTCCATTCGATTATTCCTCTTGAGTTGATCTTTTCTTTGTCTCATCTCCTGCCATCTGCATCCGCTACACTTCTACGTAACAACCGCGTAGTTGGTCAACAGAACTGAGCCGAACTAACTCACATGGCAACAGTAATTAACTCCGATGAACAAGCATAATGTGGATAACTGCAATCAGACAAACGAGACTAAGTCGATGAAAGTCATCTAATGAATGAACCAAAGTGCGTTTAATTCATCTGAGCTTTAAAGCGCCATCTGTTTTTTTTTCATTACGCTGCTTCAGATAGCGTCTTTGTTTGTTGATGTGATTCATCCTCCTGCATGAATCAGGAAAAGTGCACACACTGGTTAACTTAATCCCTCGGTCAACATCTTCGTATGTTACGATCTCATCGACTGTCAACTATCGGGATTCGACAAACCCAGCGAAGTATCACTATGTACCACAAGCCTGGTCTCAAGACGTCTGTTGCCAGAGTGGCATTAGCCGTACGCTAACACCTCGTACCGACGCATCGCTGTCACCCGAATCCCTAACAGTCAAGCGCAGGCTAGGGATGCTACTAGGTCAACCGCATCTTCGAGGAATCGAACCAGCAATCTGTGGATTACAAACCGGACACCAATGCGCCACCGGCCGGTAGTCTGTTTCAGCCGCCCGCTGGATAATATCAGCTGTGCACATTTCGTATTTTCGCCATAGTAAAACGATCATTCACAGGCACCGTTGATCGAATGTGTTCGTTTTCCTGTGGTTTGCAGCCTGCAGTCGATGGCCCGATGCACGCATTAACGTTAGCCCCCGGGTCAGCCACCTTTTAACGCCTGAGACTGGGCCTGCAGGTCACCCATACATACCACTCCGTGCATATTTTCCTTTTTTCTCATACTCGTCAGTGTTGTTTGTATCCATACTATGCTAGCTTTGAGCACCTATGGTGTGGTGTGTTCTTTGTTTACCACTCGGGCTGATTGCATTCCAGGTGCAGGCGATGGCATGGTGACGGCGAAGATGGCCCCCTTCTTCGAATGCGTCTATGTAACCGAGCTTTCACGGCCGATGCAGTGGCTGTTGCAGGAACGCAATTTTAAGTATGTCACACCTTGCAACGATTTCGATATACTGGTTCTTTATTTTTGGATTTCCTCTCGAATTTGTGCCTAACTATGTCAAACAGAAAGATTACAAATTTAAGCTGGACACAGCACACAACGAGTTTTGCTCTACTTTTTTTTACTAGGTTTGTGAGCTTCAGCGTTTCGACAAATTCAGGTAGTTGAACGTAACCGTTCGGCACCTTGTACGCTTCGTTTCACGCTTTATTAATGATCAGTCCACGAATCCGAGTGCTGTGATGGAGGGGAAGCACATGCTGATTGCATATTTCGTACTGTGTATATTATACTTAGTGCCCCATGCTGAGGCTGATGTTGCATTCTTGATGCTTCTTTACCGCAGTTGGGCTAAACCAACTTAGACTAGGTCTTTTTAAGATGGATAAATTTCATCCCACTTTATTTGCTTTGTTCTGCCTACTTGAATAATCTTCTATTAAATGGCCACGTTGCTTACCCTTATGGTGGTTATCTTTGTTAAGCTTATTGCGTTTGTAGCATAGTTTGAGTAACTTCTAGACATTTTGAACTTATGGCGGATTCGTTGCTAACCAACTTACTTCATATGCTAATTTAGGGAAGAGTTATGTCTGCATAGCCGTATTCTTTAACAGATCTATTTTATTTGATCATGTCATTTCAAGTGATTGGCTGCTGTTTGACATCCCAGGTGTGGCTGCGCTTGATGTGCATGTTGACAAGGTGCCTACCTGTCTATTACCCACTACATCGTTCATACTGGCTCCAGGAGACAGTTGGTCGTTGCTGGAGGGGACGGGGTGCACGGTTCTTGTGGCCGTGCTAGGCTCAAAGAGCGGTTCCATGCACTCAGTGTGGAGCGGACTACGGTCCAGCCACCGCCTTGTGTGCGCTTGATTTCCCAAATACAGCGTGCTTGTGTTTGCCTGTGAAGGAGTGTGGGCCGGCTCCGTTGATGAAACGTGGCTCCCATCCGCATACCTCCCGGTCTTATTCCTTCGGGTTTACACTGGATATGGGGTGTGTGGATGGAGCTGTGGGTGGTGCAACGCAAGCCACCCATGGTCCCTCTGTAAGCGCAGACGTCCTCTGGCGGGCCACAGTGACATGCAAATCCGAAACCGGATGCCGCCAACCATATTGTACTTAACACTTGACCAATAAACAACTGGCAGAGTGTCACAAAACATGAGTAAAAACAACAAACAGAAGCAAAAGAAACAGTCAGCAAAAAGGTTAGGATGGTTCATGTGTTGTGTGGCCAGTGAGCTTCCCGGTTGCCTAGGCCTAGGAAGAGGGTTGACTTAAGGGGCCCCACCCCGAGCCTTTTGTCATAATGACCTGATCCGCAAGATAGCGGGGCGATTAAGGAAGACCGTTGACAGCCGGTTACCTCATTCGCTTGCTTTGTGCTCGCTTATAGTCCACACAGAAGCCAGTGACCAGCAACGTTGTTCATCCGCCCTCCGATACGTACTCACCTCTGGTTACGGAAATAAGTAATCAGTGCTCCTATGTACAATCACATTGGCTTTGACGCAGCGTCACAGTACTCGATTTTGTCTCTCTGCACCCTATCCTTGTATAAGATATGACTATCGGAGCAGATCAGGATGGCATTTTACCAGAGCATTGCGAACATCACCGGATGGCTTAATGCTTACGACGTTATTTTTGTTAACAAGCCATTACATATCTGCACTGCCAATATACTTTCTCCACTATTTTGCGACGACACGAGACAACGACTGCTTTCTTTAGTCGCGGACACAGTAAGCATAAGAAGCGTGCGCAGCTGTATATTTGTACCACGCTGATAACACAGATAAGCGCTGTGTGTTTGACACATATTGCGCGTTCATCTCCAAGGCAATCTAACCGGTTGTTCCGACTGTTTCTGTACATTCAACTCCGGGTGGAACATGAATCCGAACTTGTTGCTAACTAGGTTGCGTCGCACGGTATTTTGTGTAGAGAAACAACTGAGGCAATCAGTTAGATTGCCTTGGATGTGAATGCCTAATGCGCATCAGGCCCATACCTGATTGTCTATGTAAACGGATGCTTTACTTGCTTGACTACTTGATTGCCTTGTGCTTATCGCATTTGTGGTTGATAAAAGCGATTGATACTTTAAAAATTCGCATTCCTTAATTAGTCTGTGATCCATCTATCATGGGTGCTTTGCCAAACCACTGTGGCGACTCAACATGACAAGCGCTATCCGGCTTTTCTGTTGCCCGCGGTTTGTTCATGCTATAGTGTACACACCTGCGAGTTTGTATTGGAGAAGGTTTATTGTCCGATAAGAACATGAAGAGCTGTTGACTAGCGTCGAAGTACTGGAGGCCCAGAGTTGCTCACTCATGCACGCAACGCTACGCTGCTTCGGCCTGTTTCAGAGCCTGTGTGATAGCATTCGAAATGGTGCAATATAACTAGCTAGTGGAAGACCTCGCTTCACCTCTACAAATACACTTCGGTATGTGCTCGTGGATTCTGTGATCTAGGTGTCTTGTAGTACAATCCACGTATCGTCCATCACAGGAACACAAGTATCGATGAACAAGCATTGGTCGAGTCAATGGAGGCAGTCGGTTCTTCAAAAGTTTTTCTAGAGAAGGCTTGCTTTAGTAAGCTATGCACAGGCGATCCACTGAATAGATCTTCTCAACGGCGTCTTTCAGGCTTTTGGACAGGGTATTAACTGCACTGTAGCCTTTGAACGATGCACAATTCACAGGTCATGCCACAAGTCGCCTGTCTCATAAAATTCACGAACACCTACCGAAATGGTTTTACAGAGGTGAAGCTAAGTTTTCTATTGGCTCCATGTCGCACCTCTTTGAATGCAGCCACGAAGGCTCTGCAAACTCCGTTCTTGGAAGTTCTTCGTGGGGATCCCGGAAACATATATCCATTGCTGAGGCTATATCCGGCCTCTTAGGCCTGTTTCAACCGTATTGGTCCAACTGCCAGTTCGCTGTTTGGACTAGATTGACGCGACCTTATTAATCTTTACGGATAATGTTTTGACTCTGTCTGTAACGTGTTTTATGGGCTGTGCGGGTAGCACACTACTGTTCTGAGTTCTTGACTTTAGGTTTTCTCCATGAACGATTGGGCATTTTATCAATAACCGATAATTTTTGACCGGGATTGTACAACCGGAATGATCTAACGTTTATCACATGCTCACGCATTTCTACTTTTCGAGACCCTTGGCTGTCTGCATTTTTGCCATCTTTCATCGCTCTGTCACAAACTAACATCATTCGTCATCATTATACACGTTAGCTAGAGGTGGGAAGCACCTCAGCTACTGTGCCTCAATATATAGAGGAAAAAGGGGGAAAATGTAACAGATGCAAGCCAGCAGAGCTACCGGTAACGAATGGGTATCGTTCCAGTAAGCTATCAGCTGGCTACTATGCAGCAAAAAAATTTACTACGTAAAATTGTGTAAAGCTAATTAGTGAGATCGTAGTTGGAGGGGAGGATAAGTGGGATGGGGTGGGGCAAAGCAACTCACAGCACGAACACCACTGAGGTCAACTCCCAGCCATGTCAGCAAGTGCATCCAGCCAAACATCTTTCGTACCCTAACCAGGGAGCCGAGACGCTACAACCGAGGCCAACTTTGAACTAAGGGCCTTCATTCCTCTCGACCAAGTCATCGCTTGGTCACCCCTCCTCTTCTTCCGTCCACACCCCCGGCGCGCAAACAACGCATGTCGTGGGAGTCGGTGGGCTGACATGCGTAACACGTGGCCAAGCCATCGGAGCCTGGTGCGTAAAATGACGGTGCTAAGCGGTTCAGTTCCTTTTCCTGTGCCATAAACAAGGCGTCGGACACGCTTGTTGCTCACTCAGTGTTGCCACCAGGTGTGAGCCAAATTTCGAAGGCACCTGTGGTCGAACGTAACCAGCCTCTTTATGTCTGTTTATCTAAGGGCCAGGTTTCACAACCGTACATTCGGATCGGACGTACCGCTGCACTGTACACCCTACCCTTCAGGGCGAGAGTGATGTCGCGCCGGCGCCATAAGTGGCGAAGGTTAGCCAAAGCGCCTCGAGCTTTTCCTATACGCTTCGTGATCTCATCAATCCCACGGGCGTTGATAAAACTTCCTAGGTAGTTGAATTTCTGAACAACTTCTAGCTGATCCCCACCAAGGGTCAGCGAAGGAGGTGGTCCAGACCAATCTTGGATGAACGCTTTGCACTTCGATGGTGCGAAGCAAAACCTGAAGTGACAGATAGCCACTGCTACTCTGTCCATAGCCGCTTGACACGTTTGTGAGCTGTCACAGATGAGGGCAATATCGTCAGTATACTCCAAGTCGAGAAGCGATTTTCCTGAGAGCAGATCCACACCTTCTAAATCGTGTTCTGTGAACGCGATTTCTATGACTTCGTCAATAGCGAAGTAGAAGAGGAAAGGTGACAGCGGGCATCCTTGTCCCACACCGCTGGAGATATTGTAGGGCGGTGACAGTTGGCCGTAAGCCCCCACTTTTCCCGAGCTACCCGCGTATAATGCTCGGATAACATTTACCTACTTCTCGGGCACACCTTTCCTGAGTAGACAGTCCCAAAGGGCAAAGGGAGACGCAGAATATGAACCTCGAACTTTACAGTCAAATTGCAGAACTGAAACGACGCCACGAAAGTTTGTTCCAACCCGGTCTTGGATGCTGCCGGATAGCCAGAGCTGAGCTGAATCTCAAACCAGACGCCAGACCAGTCTTTAGACCAAAACGTCCAGTGCCGTACGCAACACAACCAATAGTGGAGTTTGAGTTAAATAGCTTGCAGTCGGAAGGCATAATCGAGCGCGTGCCTGAGAAGTCAGACAGTCGCAGTCTCATAGGTCAGCTAAGAACAGTACAACAGTCGTCAGTGGCAGAGAGCAGAGGTAAAGAAGAAGCGTTACAACGGTGAAAGAAGAAGCGTTACAACAGTGGCGACAGGAGTCAGGAGATGTCAGTCAGTTT